TTTGTTGCTTTGTTGTCGATGTCATCGGCAATATTTTGATGTTTGTTTGATTATATGGTTAAAAATGCACATTAGGGAGTTCCAAAAAAACTGAAAATGTTATCTTACTTATTGGAAATTTTTTGCGCCGACCCTTTAGGTTGATAGCAAATGGTAAATAATTGGCTGATACAAATTTTTAAACTTTATTTTCAAGTACAATTTTTAAAATTATTACCGATTCCCAATCGTTTTTGGGGTTGTTAAAAATCTTTATTCTGCCCTAATGTACGCGAATTGAGCGAAATATCTACCATATCTCATTCCTGGTAAAATAACGTTAAATATATTTATAATTTATATCAATCGGAGTGTGGCGCAAAAGAGAAAGGAAGATAAGGCCTCTTGAGTCTAATATAATATTTATTTAATGTTAATATTAAGGATACTCTTTTAATATATGTGTGCCTTATGTACTATGCAAAAAAGTTTATCCACTAAAAAAACAGATAGTAAAAGTTACATAAGCAAATTCTCATAAAACAAAAAAAAAAAAATTGCATAATTAACCAAAAAGTATATTCGAAATTAGAACAACTGAAATTTGAGTCTAAGCCAAGTTTAAGTAATGAAGGTTATCCGTTGATAATAAAAGGCTTAGACATTTTCAGACATACATACACACATGTGTTTAAGGTGACGCTTGAAAATATCTTATTACAGAATTACACATACACTAATAGTTATATAGTAAAGTATCAAAAAGAAGCTACTTAAAGGATTATTTTTTTTATTTGCCATCTAGGCAATAAGGAGGCTATTTTGTTTGGCATATATACATACAAAAAAATGTACATATATATATATATATATATATATATATATGTCTAAGGAAACATATATATTATATGTAACTTTCTACGTACTTGATACATATATATGTTTTATAAACACATCCATTTTGATGTGCCTACCATTGCGAAAGCGTGGGTGTAGATAAGATATATTAGCATGAAAAGATACTTGCATACATACATAAACACATTTCTTCTTATTCAATGAGGCTGAAATTTGATGAAAACATACTGTTAGTTATCGACTGTATGTGCATACATATATACTTTATATGTACATATGTATGTAGTAAATTTTGCTCTTATTATCCTTGTTTGTCAACAGTCAATTTATTTGACCTTGAATTGCCTAAGCCAGATACCCAAACATATGTACGCATACTCGTATAGACGTGTGCATATAAATACTTTCAAATACACTTATATCTGTATGTATGTGCATACAAAACCTACTTCACACCCACATTCGTACACTCAAGCACTCATAGGCGAAAACATATGACCCTATCGAATAAGTAAATAAAGCATGACAAATAAACTCCAACTAATATTAAATAAATACATATGACATACATACATATATACACATTTGGAAATACGCATGAATGACTTTCGGCATGGAGGTGTGCATTTTGATGTGTGTGCTATTTAGTCTTATGGAAAACGTCATAATTTGCTTCTTAGCGTTAAAAGAGCGTATGGCGCCTAGTTGTATGCAACGAAAATTTGTTTAAGAGCATTTTATGATGTAAACGAGGGAAAATGAGATAAGTTTTACTGCAAATGAATGTAGGCATGTTAGTATTGGCATATATATGTATGTATTTATATTCTAGCATTTAAGTATGTGCACACATAAAACACATTCTTGTAATGAGAACGGAAATTTGTTTGTTTGTTTAACTTTCCGTTTTTACATTTCGTTTACAATGTAAAGAAAAATTGAAAATAGCTAAATATACATACATACATGTATTACATATATTATTTTTTTTTATTATCCCTATATTGTCTCATGTCCTCCGGAAATACTCAGACTTTATGGCTCTCGTGACTACACAAAAACACAAACACACATCGTACAAATAACCCTGTAGGAAAACAGGCTGTTACGAGTATACATTATTTTGGAAAAATAACGGTACTTTGAAGAAATTATGGCTAAAACATTTTATTTTGTTGCATCCCACAAGCTAAAATAAAAAACTGAGCTAATAGGTAAATAATTGAAACTTAATCATTTGGAGTAACCGGATTCCTTTTTAGGTTGATCTCAATTTTCTAATGAACATTTAGTTAAGAGTTTTTGAATATTAATGTGATGTGTTTTCAGGTCATAACATATTATATTTTTCATTGACTGATTGATATTTTTTGCTGAATTTGGTTATGTAATCTACTCCTAACCGGAATTTTATTTCGTATTATATATGTCAGTAAGTTTGACGGCAATGAGAGATAAAGAAGTAAATCTCACAATGTGGACATATCTTTAGCTTTACACTTTAGGGCCTTCTGTGTGAATTTTTCTGCGCAACATTTCCACTTATAAATACATATCTATTTGTATTCTTGTTTATGTATACAAACTCTTTCAGGTCAAAACTATCAACATTGCATAAATTTCTGGCAACAGCAATGCTCAACGGAAACCGGATACGGTACTACATAACTGAATGTGACGTCAATGGAAGAGCGGTGCAGCTACGCTTAGTTTGGTTATGATAATGGAGTGGAGTGGAATATAGAAGCCAACGAAATAGTCAATTGCTTTACTTATTATAAAAAGTACGAAGTACATAAGTGAAAAGCAAAGGTACGAGTGCTCACAACATACGAGTACGTACATGTATTCAGTAACAAAAAATAAATTTATTTAAAATTAGACAATTTCCCTTTATAAACAATCACAATCAAGCGTACCACTTTTAAAATAATCTTAAATATATTTTGCACACATACGAGTCTATAAAATAGTAGCCGCTGTCAAAATATTTGTATTTTAGAGAAAGACAGAATGGGGTTGATTTTATTAAAAATCCTAGTTGTGGGAAGTTACATATGTCCCTTATTTGAAATATATTAGTATTGTCAAGTGGAAAGGAACCCATCTAATAAATTGAAGTTTAAAGTGCATTTATTTATATCGACCAAATTACTGTTATTATTAAATAAGACACCTTCCGCATACTCTTTAAGTGCTACTCACTGAACTTGAAATAACAAATGAGTTGACATACATTCACACCTACGCTTCTAAATATGCATGTATTGTACATATATGTACAACATATGCATGTGTCATATGGGCATATGCCAGACTTTTAGACATTACATTAACCAAACGAAGGTAAATTTTAAAACAAGCTCAGCCAAGCATATTAAATGAAATTTGATAGCTGCGTAGATAATGAGGCAGCAATTTAAATAGCCAAAAAAATGTAATAAAATTAGAAGAAGTCAATTTAAAGTTGTGTTCTAAACACCAAATTCAATATTTATGGCATATAATGCATAGTTTCAAGTTCAGCAAGAAGCATTCATTTTTCTTTCATAGCTTTTATGCTCATACATTTGCGTGTAAGTATGTATAAACATATAGTATGTATGTACATACGCACAAAACGGTGGTTTATAGTGAAAAGTCAGATGGGGAAATAGGAAAATTATTTTTAAATGATTGATAAGCACATTCTCTTACATGTTTTGGTACATACATACATATGTATGTATATCTATATTTGTACAGGCATATTTATATGTGTTTCTGCTGTCTAAGTATCCTTTCACCTTAACAATGTTCAACTTACAAACATATGTACATGCAAATGCACAGTTTCTCGTAGAGTTCTTTGCTGACCTTCTCAGAAACAAGGCGAAATGGCGGAGGTTAATTCATTTTCGCACTATAGACCTTCAAGGGCGAAGGACAAGGTGTTATAGGATATGTTTCATTATACATATATGCCCTTCATGTCTACACATTTTTTCCAGAAATGTTTTCATAGGCTATCAGAAGATTCTTTAAAACGTTTTCGAAGTGTTTCTACTTAAATAAGTAGGTGGATACCCAAATTAAATTAAATGGATTGTACCAATTTGAAACCTTTTAGTAATATCAAATTAAAAATTTACTACAGCAGCAAAAGCTATTTTGAATTAGAATTTAATATCTAAATAAAAATATTTCATTTTTGTTTTTGAAATCCTCAACTTTAAGCAATTTAAAAATAAATAACCTTCTTAAAAGGCAAAATTAATCAATTTGGAAAATAATGTAATTTGGTACTTTTTTGCACTTATTCCACTACAAAGAAATTTTTATTTATGTTAGGTAGGCGGCCGCGGTGGCCAAATGGTTAGCATTGCGCATCGCCATTAGGATGGATTGGATTGAAATCCTGGTGTCGCACTAACATACAAAGAGATAAAGAAAATTAATTTAAATCAAAATATTAAGCTAAATTTTCTAATTGCGATCGCACCTCGGCAGGGAATGTCAACCCCTCTGACTGTATTTCTGACATGAAAAACCTCACCTCGGAGGCAACTAAGTATAAACTGTAGGCCCCTCCATTTGTTAAAAAAAAACATGAATTATATACAATGATGAACTGAAGTATTGGCAAAGCAAGATAGTTTAACTTTAATACCTTTTTTTGACCACTTATGAAAAGATTTTTAATTTCGAAAAAATGCCAAACAGAGGAACCAAATTTCAACTATTTGCACTTCAATTCATTTTATTATCGTTTATGTTTAATTAATACTATAATGCAAAACAAATACTGATTTTCAATAAACAAAAGTTTGAATCGTGTATATGCTTATATACACATGTATACATATTAAAAGCTCATTTTGTATATTTCTAAGGCGGCGGGACAAATATTTTTCAAATAAACTATGCCACTGCAATTACCTGCATAAATACCCTCCGGCGTTTAATACATATCGTATACTCGTACACATATTTTTATGTATATATGGTACACACACATGTATATTATATTTAAATAAATTGGCGATGCTTTTACACGTATCTACTCTCATACATACATACATACAGACATACATTCACATCAAAAAAATATCGCAATATGTCAACGTTAGTGCTGTAAATGCATCAATATTCTATGCAAATAACTTTTATTAACTTTAACTCACCGCCAATCAAAGTTCAATTATTTATCAACAGTTGACATTAAATTAAGAATTCACTTTTTTATTATGTGGATTGCCCCTCGTTTTCGTTGCACCCTTGCAGTGCTTATTGATGCTTGTTTGCTCAGTCGGTATTCCTTGGACAACCGCCCTATCTGAAAGCTAAGCAGATGGGCAAAATCAATGCTTGCTGTAGCACAGATGCTGCATACATATATTGTATTTATTTCTGAAAAATGTTGCTCATATTGTACAAAAGACACGCAAAGATTTTCAAATTATTTGTATTTGTTCACATAGGCGTAATCACTTTTCATCCATGTACCCCCACACTCGTTTCAATTGTAGATAGTTGATTCGTATGTTTTCATTATTATTACTATTATCAGAGACCCACTGTGCCGCTCGCCGCTCGCCGCATCACACAACCGCTCACAATGAAATTCCGTTAACTTGTGTTGCGAAAAATGCGAAATCTACATGAATTTGGCTTAGTTGTTGGGGAACAGGAATTGCATATTTAAGAACAAAGGAAATGCAGGGTAATTCAAAGTAAAAACAACTACGCTCTTTTGCGTATTCGCAGTCATTAGGAACCCTCTGTACTTACACTCGATTTTGGTATCTCCTTTAACGGGTTAAATAAATGGTTTTCACCTGCATTAACGTAGAGCAGCCAATGGAAGTTATTTAGCTGTGGCGATTCGCCCACATAATGCAACTCGATCAGAAATGGAGTCTTAATTTACATATCTCAGGGATATATTAGATGCGAAGCTAAAGAAATACAGTTAATAATCAAAAAGCAAATTTTTGTGGTATGATAGAGTTAAAAGGACATCAAGAATTTAAATTTTGTATGAGGAACTGCCACCGCTGTAATCCATTTCACTACATTCTTTTTATTGTAATTTAAAAGTGGGTCACAAATTTCACATCAGCTATGAATATTGCATATATGCTGGAGAATAAAAGATGGCTTTTGATATATTCGTAAAGTCTCAACTCAATAATTACGAAATATAGGGTTTTCCAATCCATTGTTTCAAAAATACAGGCCTGCATTTTGACATGTGTCTAACTTAACTGTCATACCAAACATATGTTTGTTTGTTTTAGTCAAAAGTCAGGTTTATTTCATCTCAAATATCGTTTTTTACCTCAAACGGATCCAAGTTTACAAAAATCGAGAGGTGGTCATACCAACGCTCAAGCTTTATAATAAATGAGGAATTTTATGGAAAAAATTATTTAAATGCATTTTGAAAACGTCTATTTTCGAAACCTCAAAATGAATAGCCCTCTATGTTTTTGCTTGCCATTGTTTGAGTGAAAAGAATTGACTTCATATTGATCATCATTTATTCATTATGAAATAAAGTTCGTTTATATATATGTTCTAGTGATATTTTCCCATATTTGTACATTATAGAGTTTTTGAAAGTATATACTACATTACATACGTAAGAAGAATCACATGCGCTCTACATTCATATATTATATAATATTTTTTGCCAGCACAATAGTAATTAGTAAATCTCATTATTGTATAATAAAGTTATGTGTCTTAAACACACACGCTGGTATAATGTTATAATAACGTTATAAATTTCTGAACTACTTTTCTTTTTTGAAGAATCACTAGAATTAATGTCACTATTTTATTCCTACGCATCAAAGGAGTATCGTTATATAAATGTTTACTTAAATGAACGAAATACAAAGTATATACAATTTATAAACGACATACATACCTACAAGTGTCCTCTATATATGTATTGTATATTATATTTATGAACAACAATCTTATATTGCTTTGAACGGTTATAATTAGCGTTTCAATGCGTTGAAATTTACATTACGCCTAAAAGTGCTCTACTGTTTTTTTTAAACTTAACTGTAAAACGTAGAAAGCCCGCAACTGATAACGCACAGAAGAAGGAAAGATGGGTTTTCAGTGAAAAATAAATAAATAAAAAAAATTTTTATTTATGTATATAAAAAATTAATTTAATCGCTTCGAAGGAGGAAAGAAGATTTTTTAATGAAAAATATATAAAATCAATTTTTATTCAAATCTCATGAGGTTTAAAAGGAAAAAAAAAACTCCGTCAGAGCTTTGATTCCAGGAAGATATGTACGCTTAGCTTAGGTATAATAAAAAAAGGCGCACATTTTCTACGTTTTTATCGAAAAATCTAACATTGACTTATATAGTATTTAACGATTCATGCCTAGCGCAGAATATATTTTCAATTGCATTTCTCCCTTCACGAAGATAAGTTTCTTTTTAAATGATTGAGTGCGTTTTTATTAGTAATGCGATTTGCTTGTTTCATTTCTTGGTGTAATGGTTAATTATATATTTGTATATTTGTATGTATTAAATGCATCATTAAAGTACTCCTGCTACTTGAGATTATCCTCGGTAATACTTCTTTCGTAACGGATTTTCTCACCTTTGGTTTGATTTGACGTAATCTGAATTGAAATTTATGTCCGTTTTGAAAACCGAAAATCTTAATTAGTCTAAGTAAAAGAAAATATTTATTCATGCTAATGAAATGCTTAACCAAAAGGCCGTAATTGACAAATTTTTTATTTATAAAAAAAAAAAAATGCAAAATAAATGTGGCGAAGAAAATGCCATTTGTGAACAATTTTAAACAAAACTTAAGGAAGAAATGAGTTTTGGTTCAATTTTCTATCAACAAGCAGAATGTAGCAGTGGGTATAATCGTATTTTAACCCTTGAAGACGAAAAGTAAATCCTTAGAGGGAAGTTTTTATCGGGAAGAAGTACTTTGTTGTTCTTCAAAATACATTACGATTTCGAAGATCAAATTTGAACTGCTACTACTCCAAATCGTTCGAAGTTATAAACAAATCAAATATCTAAGACATAAAAATATAAAATACGGATGCTTTAAATAAAAGGAAAAATGTTCAATGTTGTAAATTTTTATTAGAATGTATAACACTTATTTCGAACTAAAGCTAATATTTTTTTTTATAAAAAAATTGCTGTTTAATACATTCTCAATCAATTTCTTTGCAATAATTTACAAATATAATAAAGTTACTTAATTTAAATAAATTACTTCTGAACCCCCGAGAAACAACGAATTTCATTTCAAGTCTCACAAATATTTTGGTTCTAACGAATTCACACACTTTTAAACCAGTCAGTGTTTGTTTGCAGTTTCAATAAATAGATATTTAAATATCTGCAATAAAATAAGCGAAAAATTTAAAACTGAAACATTATTTAATATAGTCTACTACTGCTAAAACAAATCAACGCCATGATGCTAGTAAAGACGATAAAGTTGTTTAAAGTCAGATTATAATTTAGATATGTAATTTAAAATTATAAAAGAAAATTCGGATTTAAACGATATGAACAAGTGTTGACCAACTAGTGTATAAAATTTAAAACAGCAATCAGAAAGAAAAGACAAATAAATAATCTAAAATAAAGTTATGGAACTAATTGTTGAAGTTAGACTGCCGAGTATTAATCCTTCCATACCATAAAATTTCAATCAGTGAAGTATGGCACTCTTAACCATTGGCCCTTCGTCGTTTAAATTTTTCACTCTTGCCACATGGCTATAAGATTATTTCTGTGGAGCGTCGCTCCTGTGCAAAAAGCATTGGGTCACAGCTGTACGCATCTGCGGCTGCGGGCGAAAATTTTGAAGTACGTTTCACACGGCCACTAGAAGGTGCTGAAGAGGCGGTAGTCACCACAGAAGCACCATTGCTGCCACAAATTGCAGTTACAGTTGTGACAGCATTAAGCGATTGCAATGATATTTGTTGTGGTGTGCCTGAAGATGTAGAATTATTGGATGCAATGTTTATAGGTGGGTATTTGATGATTGTTGTTGTGATTGATGGCGTCAACGTAGTGCTGGAACTGTCATTGCTGCCGTGTCTTGCAGCCGATTGATGTTGCAGCTCTGATACTAGAAAAGAAATACAAATTTAAATAGAGCTCGCAAAAAAAAAATTGAAAATATTTAAAGAATCTTTGTACTAAATTAACGGTTTAAATGAACTTTTTTATTGCTTAATAAACTTTTTTTTAACTTTTTGATAACCCTAATATAAAGCAAACATGTGTTTTTTTTTATGTACCTTGCTTTTCTGTTTGAAGTATTGTTGCAGGTTCGTGAAGAACTGCTGTTTTCCTTATGGTCTGTTGCAGAAGTGAGTTTACATCGATCGCTGGCCACGCGACCAGCGAAACACTTCGTCATAAATAGCTATCTAAAGGAGATCCGGCTCGTTTATGACGATGATGCTTGCCGTAGTGTTTGCACATCTTTCTGCCAGTCTCGCTTGTTTCCGTTGGCTCAACTAAATTGCTTTTAGGTATATTTTCACCCGTGGTCGTTGTTTTGCTCTGTATTTTGCCCGGCATACGCTTAGGTGTGTCTGCGGGAGAAACATGGCTTTGTGGATTGTTAGATGAAAGCGAGAAATATTCGGCAGATTGGCTCAGGGAGGAGCAAACGTCCTCCGCCAGAGTATTATTCAAGCTGCGGAGTGTTACATCGGCATCCTCCGCACCGGGCGTCGACACCACCGATGAGGCATTTGTGAGTGGTGTTAGTGTACTTGAATGTTCAGCGTCGAGTTCAGCCGCAGATGTTAAAGCTGTACAGGAAGTATCTCTGGCCGTAAGCATTTGACCTGTTGTTACTGTGTCACAGTCATCTTCGGCAACATCTACAACGCACTTACATTCGCAACAACAGCAAGTACTTGAATGACAAGAGCAAAAACTTGCACTGCTCCTCCGGCTCGTATGTGTGGAACTGTCTGTATTGTTATCCTGTAAAAGCCGGTGCGGCGATGCATATTGTTTAATGTTTGTCGCCGTTAGTTTGTCATCAGTGTCAGCGTCTTCTTCTTCTACCTCCTCTCCTGTTGATGTAGTGGATCTTCTGCGCAAATTACAGCGATGACAATCTGCTGCTACTAAAAGCTCATGAGGAGCCATGTGATGTTCCTCATCATTGTCAGCATCCGCATCCAATTCGTCAAAGCTACTGCAGCTGGTGGCATCTGCATTTTGACACGAGCAATTTGTGCAATGTGAACACGTGCTGCAGCCGTCAACTTCTCCGCTGGCTCTGAACTGTTTGCGCCTTATTCTCACACACTCGTTATGTGCTGAATTTCGTTTGCTCATTTCTCGGCTCGTTACACAACAGAGGGAATCATCGCAGCAAGCGTGCGGAATAATGTCTTCAAAATGTCCGTCGATTTTAGATTCTGTCCGTATGTAATTATAATCTGTAATTATATGATGAATACTTATTGTGAATGAATCTTATGGAGGCAAAAGTTTTTAAAAAAGAAAAGCAAGGGGGAAAAATTAAATTTATTCTGCTAAATGTGTAAGATATTTGTCGATATTGGTACATGACTAAAATATCATGGTTACTTTGCCACATAAGAAGTGACAATCTTAAAAAATTTATAATTGAAACAAAACTCACCGTTTATATCTCTGCTACCCCAAAATGTATGGTGGGCGTTTTTATTTTGCCCTGTGATTAATGAATTATTTGCCGCTGTGAAAACAAATATTTTACACATATAACAAAATACAAAATAAAAAATTTCAAGTAGTGCAAAATGTATACAGCAAAAAGGAATGATACAACCTAGCAACTTTAAGAGATTTAAAAACTAAGACAAATGCATACGGTAAACATAAAATCATTAATTAAGCCCGTTTATGATTACCTTTTTTATTACGTCTATCTTCGGAATTCCCGTGGGACAATTCATCAGTTTCCACTGTGCTATTAGAGTTCATTGAGTCGCAACGTTTGCGTAGTTTTCGACTTGGCTTCTTGCCAACCTCAACGTTGTCGTGTATTGGCGGTAAAATAATAGGAGTAAAATTACCCATTGCCATTTTGTACGCAAAATTCGAGGTGGCAGTGCTTGTATTATCTTCAGTCAAAGTGGCTGCGTCTATTTCAATAGCAATAGCTTGCAAACGTTCATGCGGTTGCTCTAGACCAGATTGTGGCGGATCGTCACTGGAATCAAAGGAAGACTTACTGTTATAACCTGGAAGCTGACGGACGTTGTTATTCTTATTTCGATTTTGCTGGAATTCCGGTTGTAAGTTATGATAATGATGATGATGTGGTTGGTGTTTACGACGGTGATTATGTTGGCTTTTATTACTCTTGCGACTACCATGACTTCGACAGCTGCACAGTTTTCTTTTACGTCTGTCAATACTGGCACCTCCACCTCCCGGTGAATAATGATGACAGTGGTGTGTAATATGGCAGTGAGAAGAAATTTCTCCCGATCTTAAATCACCATTTATTAAGCCACAGCAGTCATTCGACTTTGTGTTACCACAGCAATTCAAAGCGGCACTATGACTGTGACAATTGTGTAATTGACTACAGTTCAATATAGAATCTGGCGTTTGGGTTGCATTGTGGCGCTGCCGCACCATATCACCATGTTGGCATCGACAACGCTGATGCCCTTTCCCACCAACCTTTTCACATTTCGATCTATTAGCAGAATTTCGGGATACGATGCTGGAACCTTTGACAATTACTACCGCATCTAGTGGACAATTTTCATCCGGTGGTAGCATACCGGTAGTTTCTTTTAATTTTGTTAGTGTATTGTTATTGTAGTGGTATTGGAAGGCTTTGTTATCATGGTATTTTTTATATTCCGGATCTCCATAATTACTGAAATGCTCGTTATCTGCAGCAGCGGTTAGTAAATGATCATCGCCACTGCTTGTTGTAGTGATAGCAAGAGATTGATTGTTTTCCGAGTTGTTAGTTTGTGTGTGAATATCGTGCGGATTGTTTTGTGTTTGTTGCGGTTGTTCTTCGGGGGCAAACTGCTAATCTCCACGACGTAAATCCCGCGCCTTAGTGTTCTTTCTATAGAACCAGACTTGCATGAGTATTGCAATGTCTAAGCTAACCTAGAAATGTAAAAGAAACCGAAATTTATTTTGAACGAATGAAATCATTACTACCAGGAAAAATTTGCAAACTCCAACTATTGTGCACAGAAAAATGTGTAAAAATCGATATTAAAATTTTCGTCTTTTATGTATTTTTGTGATTGTCGGTTTGAAATTAGTAAAAAAAAAAAAAAAAAAAAAAAAATGAATAGCAACTAAACACAGAGAAATTAAATTCTCTGCAACAGAGAACGTATAACATAGAGAAGGTGCAAGTACGGACCAGGGTGGAAATTGTCAAAAAGCACGATTACTTCGTTTCACGTAATCGTACCACACTCCTCACATGATTCGCAAAACTTGCTGTTAATTAAAAGAATTGAGCGTAACAGTATGTTAATTTGTAAACATAATGTAAATTGATAACATTGATAAAAATAACGAAAATATCGCAAATTTTGCCGACGGCAATTTAATTTTTGCATATGTACATATGTACGCCTAACTCAACTTAATACGAAATTGAAATATCCTCACTATGGTTTTCAGCAGAACAATATCTACATTATACTTATAATTCATAGTTGTATTCCTATTAGAACGGAAATTATTCATATAAAACCTACCAAAATTTTATTGGGAGACATAAGGAAGGCTGAACTTTCAAACTTCTCTCCTGAAAACTTTGAGAAATAGACTTACGCATGCAATCACATTAGTATATGGAAAAATGCTTGGGATTCGCACTTCATCCCTAAAATCTAGAATTTTTGCATTTTGCCCAGCTTACACAGACAACTTGAATTTACTTGCTTCCCAATATGAGCTAATAGGCAAACAGCAAATTTAACAGCACGATGCCGACTTGCTTCAATTCGGCAGACAAAGTCTGAATTTTTGTCAAAGTCGCAAGAATTTGAAGCAATGCTAGTGTATGCCACATACCAATGTAGATTGTTGTTGCTTCACATTTCGGGAAGATGTACGATTTGCTAATTTTTGTTACGGGACTTTTTATACCCGGCTATACTATGTGACCAGAGTGCATTGGATTTGTTTTGCTAACGGTTTTAAAATAATCAAAGTAAGAATTTATAAACTATGTAGAAAACTTCGTGGAATGGTGATATACATCGATTTAGGAATGTCTGTCCCTCCGTCTCTATACACGATAGCTCGAGTAAGAACTGAGATGTCTCATACATTTTAATATCAGCCGAAAATATCGCTTGCACTCGAATTTAGTCTTCCTTACATGTATGAGTTTGTGACCGTCCTGTGAGCAGTGGTATTTATGAATGAACACATTGCTTTGTTGTAGGGCGCATGCGTTTATGAATGAAAATTTTGTGTTTTTCATGATTTCATGTATGTATGGGTCTTTCATATACATACAGTCACCTTTGAATGTGTTTGTTTTTGACTTCAGCTCAACTTGAATTTCTGATTTTTGCAAATTTTGCCATCGTCCCGAAGAAGTCGTTCGTGGATGACGGGGTACAAGGGAAGAGAATTTGCAAGTTTTTGTGCATGTGTCTGTTTTTCGTGTACACATTGTCCTCTTTGAATGTATGTGTCTTTAACTTCAGACCAACTTGAACTCTGATTTTTCTGATATTTTGTCATCGTCGCGAAGAAGAGGTTTGTGGATAGCGGGGTGAAAGAAGGAAGGGCATGCGAGCTATTGAGATTGTGTGCGTTTAACGTATACATATTGAATTGCTTGAGTGTATGGGTTTTCACTTTGTCGCAAGTTCAGCATCAATTTCTAACTTTTGACAAAATTTCTGACCGAAACGGCTTTTTGGTGGAGGGAGCAAGGGAAAAGAGATTTCACAATACTTTGTTTGTATTGGTTATTTGTACATGTATATGAAGCTTTCAATGTATGGGTTTGTGATTTTTGCTCAACTTCAATTTCTGGATTTTTGCAAAATTTGACTTTGACTTCATGAAACTGTTTGATGATGAAGAGTTGAAGGAAAGAGGGGTTTGCATGCATTACTTGTTTTTGTTGCTTTTATGCTTATTCTACTTTTCTTTATTGAAATCAAATATTCTAGAATATTCTAGAATCTTCTGGAATGTTTAGAATATTTTAGAAATTTAGCACACAATCCTTGCACACACAATCTCATCTTATCTTGTGGACAGGGTGCATGCGGGAAGGCAAGGAAATTGCTTGCTGGGCAATATGAGCTAACAGGCGAACAGCAAATGTAGTAGTAGTACGATGTCGATTTGTTACATTTCTGCAGACGATGATTGAATTTTTGTCATTGGCAAAAATTTGAAGAAATGCTTGTCGGCAATACATGAATGTTACGGGTCGAAGGAAGAAGAGCATGCATACTACTGTATGTTGTTGTTGCCTAACTTTCCGCGACCATATTTGCTTCCGATTTTTTGTTTTTTGTCAACGCAGCAAAGAAGCAACTTGTTATGAATGAAAGCACTTGATTTGTTGTAGGGCGCAGGCGTCTATGAATGAGAATCTTATTGTTGTATTTGATTTCAATTCTGAGCTTTTAGACAAGAGAAGTATTTAGAGGGATGGAGTAATTTGTTTTCACATATGCATATGTTTGTACATAATAAGCATGTGAGTATATGTACACATGTATATGCAAAAGGTCATCTAAAAGAAATTGAGATCATTAACAAATGATACTGTCCTTAAGAAATATACATTTATTAAAAATTGTTAAAATTTTATCAGTAATTAATTGATGGTTTCAAATTTGAATTCAATTTGGTTATTTATATGTGATACAAGTAAATAAAAGCGGCTGTTGATTTACATTTGCATAGATTTTAGTTCTCTGTTGTGTTTGAATACGCTCAATTCTGTTAATTTTTCATATCGAGGTGAAACAGAAATTTAAGACGAGAAGGAAATGACGATTACACGAAACGAAATTTTTCTGCCAGAAATGTCAGAAACGCTGGCTTTGCACCTTCTCTATGTTATACGTTCTCTGCTGTCCGTTATTAACAAATAATATAAAATTAAAATTCGATTATGCGGCTTATTTAATAAAAACAAATTCTTGTTTCTTAGTTCAATAAAAATCAGAGTTACATATTTTTGTAGCAGAGTTTTAAAACGTGTTTTTTATCAAGTAATCGCCCTATTCGATGAGCTAATTTGCCCCTGCGGATTAGGGGCTCAAGAATTTACCCGCGGTAAGGCATGCCTGTCGTAAGAGGCGACTAAAATCAAATAGTTCCCGCGACAGTCGGGTCTTTATACCGGAACGACCCGGATTTTTATCCAGTTACTACAACAACAACATGAGCTAATTTGAGATATTTTTATCCTTTTAGGATCCCTATTTATTCGATGTATGCATCTACATACATATGTACATATATTTAGCTCGAACTGGGTAGCATGACCGCGGCTTTCGTGAGGCATACACACATATTTACTTTATTTCTTTACTCACCTGCAGCGTACCGCAAATCCAAAATTGTGTTGGAGATTCTCTAACAATAAAATAACCAGTCTTAAACATATCACCTAGCGTCCACATGATAACCATTTGGATGCTCATTCCGTAGGTTGATTTATTTTTGAAATTTCGAAGGAATTGTGGAGCACCTATAAAGATAAACATACACATATTTATGTGTTTTCTTTCACGAAAATGTAAAATTAGATTTATTAAAAGAACCCACCAAGCATAGCTTCTGTAAAAACTGCACAGAAACCAACTGGCTCCATAAACCACGTAACTGACAACATTAAGTATGTAATAGCTGCGCCGACGGCCCACACAACGAGCATAAAGTCTAAATAGGATTGAAAATCACTCCAATTCCAAAAATATTTATAATCGAGATCTAAAGTAGGAAAAAAATTTATTTTTCATGCATGTGAGTAATTTAATCAATCTTACCGTTTAAGTAGTGCCTCGAGCGGGCACGTTTCAAGGTGCCGACATCGGTGGAAACTGAACCTGCAGTATCGGTGTCGGTCGTAACTTTTGGTAGACGTAGATCATCAGCTGTTTATAGAAAATAGTTAGTCTCCTTGAATATAACATGTAGTTTGTGTAGTTGTAAATTCGCTTTCAAAATATGTATACTCACACGAAAATGTATGCTCCCTACTTGAAGCGTTCATGCGTTTCACTTTAACACATAAATGTATCATGAGAAACATGGTTATATTCATTACAACACTCTGGACGAGAAGCGGAAGCTCATATTGCTTGGAAAACCTTAAAGCAGAGAATAAAAATGCATTAATATTTAAAGTTTTGGTGAGAGTCAGGACAGTAAGAATGTAGGTAATAGCGTAAAATCCGTGCGAGCCCGGACATAATTCATAACTTTAAAGAGCTTAACAACTTTTGAACATATGTACTTAATATATATAAACAGGAAGTTTTGCATGATGTTGGAAAAAATACTTGCTCCTTTATATACATGTAAATATTTGGTGTAGTAAAAAGAAATCCATTATTTTTCCAATAGATAGATGCCGCTGTTTATCTGTATCTTGCGTTGTATCAGTCCGATCGGGCTCCGCGAAATGTACCAATTTCGTATTAAAAAAATTTTTCTCACTGTTCTGTGATTAATTGATTCAGTTTCGTTAGAGCGTGCGTCAAAGAACGACACTAGCAAAGAGAAAATACGCTATATTTTACAGTTTTTCTTCGATAAGGGCGAAAACCCAAGCCAGGCGGCAAGAAAAGTGAAAAGCGTTAATAGAGCTGATACTGTTACAGTTAATCATGCACAATTTCGGAGTGGAAAGCCAATTTTCGAAATCATGGACATTGTCGAGTCCAGCCGTTAGCACTGTTGCGATTGCCTAAGAGCTAAAAAGTGCTCAAAAAACTATTTGGCACCATTCGAACAAAGATGGGCACGAAAAGAAGAAACTAAAGCATCCAATTTTATGCAAAAATAATGGATTTCTTTTTACCGCACCTAACATATGTATGCCAGAATACGAATCGTGTTGACCTACATATATAATTTGTTTCCAGCAATTGTTACTGGTGCATCAGGAGAGAACGAATCATACTCATTATACCTCAACCGGTCAGTTTGTCAAAATTACTTTTAGATATGGAAGCGTTTTCATCATGCAGTCGACAATAAATTTAGATAGTTTTTTTTTTTGAAAATTTTCGGTTTGTTTGAATCATAAAATTTTTCCAAGAAAATTTTAATATTATGGTTCAATATTCCTGAGTAACTAAATGTAAACATTTTTAAGTTTAATATTAAATTAGCTTGTAGTCACACATGTTCATACATACACGTACAAACATATGTAAATATTATGTAAATATGTATCAATTCCGTTTGTCGTCACTTCCATATGCCATAAAATTGATAACCTTTTCACTCAGCTTATAAATTCTAACTTGTGCTCTTGATAAGCCGTCATTTTCTTACAAGATACTCCTACATATGTATATATATACATTTACGTGAACGTTCTGCTTCATATATATGCATGGCTTATTGTAGTAATCTTTTTTTAATTGCGTTTATTTTTATATTTCATATCCTTTTTACAACAATGCGGACGTGTTTGGAATATGAATGCTTTTCTTGGTAGGTCTACGTATTCAACAACTATAAATATGTATGTATGTATGCGAATGTACTCTACGTGAGACCTTAAAAGAGCTGAGCGCGTAGAAATGAATAAGTGGAGTGGAGAGCAAGGGTGAGTTTTTGTTCAAGATGTGGATACTATTATTACAAATTAGAATTATATAAGTCTCGGTTAGTTTTATATCGATAGAATGTAATTTAATTTTGAAAAGTATTCGGTTGCCCCTAAAGAAACCGGCGATTTTTTAAATGAAAGTAAATACATTTTTTTGAATTTTCCAATGAACTTTAATCAATTATGTAATTTCCATTTTGTTGGATGACCTTTCGCCATCTCTCCGGCAACATCATTGTTCCACGCTCATAGAACTTCTGGCCTTTATCTGCAAAACACTGGTCCAAGTGCCTAGCCATTTTTGAAAGTTTTACCATTTAATGAGTTCTGCAAGAGATCGAAACAATTGACACTCTGGCGGTGCAAGGTCTAGATAGCAATAACAGTTCCCATCCAAGCTCTCTAAGTTTTTGGAGAGTGACCATAGATGTGTGCGGTCTAGCGTTGCCCGGTTGGAATATGGTTGACCAATACTGGCCTCTTCTCGTTGATGGATGTATTCAATTTGTCCAGTTGTTCATGGTAGACATCCGAGTTAATCGTTTGGTTCCTTGGAAGCAGCTCAAAATATACCACACCCTTGCAATTCTACCAAACTAACGGCATAATCTTCTTTAGCTCCAGTTATGATTCGCTTCAAAAAAGGATCATATTCATCGCGTTCAAGATGCATATCACAAGCGTTGAAGCGTCTTATTAAATGAATTTCTTTCAATTCATGTGGTACCCAAATATGAAGTTTCTTTTTACCAGTCCAATACGGCGTATATAATTATGAACGGTTGATCTTCGTATACTCAATTTCCGACCAGATGGGAATAAAACCTTGATATCGAACGTAGCTTATCTTTGAGTGAAAAATGTCCCGAACGAAATTCGACAAGCCAACTTCGAAACGTTGTTTCTTTTAAGGCCTTATCACCATACATATTATGCAACGCATACTTTTTTCCTAAAGCAAGCTAAAATTGACAAAAGAAAAAAATACAATTGAATAGTCACAAGCTGTTCAAAAAAAGTCAACGCCGTCTGTGTTAAAAATTGTCGGCTTCTTTTGGGTAACCCAATATTTAAATTATAAAAAAAAATTCTATAGTTAGCAATTCCAACAGTTAATGAAAAAAAGAGGGACTCACATGAGGAATTTCTATTTTATGTCCGAAATACAACCGAAGGTGTTGACATTCGCTGCCGAGGAGTGACCGGAATCAGAAAATTTAACTTATTTTTCTATAATAATATAATGTTGGCCGTGCCTGGTTTTGAACCCTGGTCTTCCGAAAGGCTGAAGGCAATACTAACCGCGGCCGCCGAGCAATAAAAAGAAAATAGAAGCAAACACTTCATTTGCTTTGATTTTATGGTTGACAAAAATCAGTACCGTGAACATACGCTGACTTCTGCCCGCCACTGTAGGTGCATACATACAGCAATAAGATGCTTGTGAGTTACACACACAATTTACTTGGGCGCCGGCAGCTGTAGCTAACGCGTCCAAGACATTAAAGTAATCACTTCAAAAATTGAAAACATTCCTTACATTTTACGCAGCTATTCAGAATTCGATTGTCGTGCACAATACACGAATGGACGCTGGAATCTCACACACATACATATGTATGCACATACATATGTCGATAAATATGTTGATACGAGTGCACATGACAAGGGAAAACGAAAATGAAATTTGAAATGTGGGCGGACTGTCGAGATAAGAAAAAAAATATTAAGCAAAAGGAAAAAACTATATTGAATGCCATCAGTAACGTGCTGAAAGACAGCGAACAGCGCATTACCCCCTTCTCCGTTTTGCCGGAAAAACGATTTTTTGTGAAGAAGAGGAAAAATATAAACATTTGGAGCTTGAAAACATTCACCGCCGCTCACTCTTCCTCTGCTTCTAAACAGCTTGGCATCGACAACGATAGTGGGAGTTTCGCTCGTTAAATCTATGAAACGTTTGCAGATAAGAAATGGGAAAAGCGGCAAAAGGCACAAAAGAGATACAGATACATTTGCGAATAAAAGTAGAAAATAATAATTTCGTTCAAAACGTGAATGTGCATTGATGTTCCAAATAAAGGTACGAGGTAAAAACAAAAAATAGATACTAGTTCGTTGACTATATTGTAATTGATTGAATTTTCGGTGAATATTGAATTAAAATAAATCTATATTTTCACCTTCACAGTGCTTGACACGCAATCCATCCACACGGTGTGGTTACAACTAAGTACATATGTACATACACAAGTGTGAATACTTGTATGTGGCACGCCATGCGCTCAAGTGCTAGAACGTTTCAGTAAATGCTGGTATAGACTTTCTTAGCTTTCGCGCCAATTAAAAAAAAAAGTTCTCTAGTAACCTGCATAAGAGGGGATTACCTAAAGTTCGATCAGTCGGTGACTTTCAATTTTTTTTGCTAAATCTAAAAATACCAAATCCTTAGGAATCACGTTATCAGTCTTCCTTTCGAATTTTAGAACGAAAGGCTAAAATGGAGACGAGAAAAAGCAAGATAGCTGACGATAGCTCAGGCAAAGTTCCACCACCAACGCAAAAAGAAATTCACCATGTGATTCTCTGCAAGTTTCGGCGTAATTCACAGCCAATACAAATATTCAGCGAATGACAAATTGACAATATGGAACGATTGCACCGTCTTTAAAGACTATTTCTAAGTGGTTCTGAAGATTTCAGACCGATAATATTTCCGTAGATGCCGAGCCATGGGAAGGAAGACCAAAATATTCCACTGTAGCTCTGGTGAAGACCCACAATTGAATGCCATAGCTCTATTGCGAATATTAAGTAATCATTTGACATACACGAAGAACTCTGCTCGATGGGTACCTCGAATTCTTAATGAGGTCCAAAAAGAGGCTCGAGTGTATTTTTGCTAAATTTTTCGTAAACAAATTTGAAATGATCAGTCCAGCAACTTCAGTAAAGTCTTTACTGGTGACGAATCTTGGTTTTATAAGTACAATCCAGAAACCAAACAGCAGTTCATGGTATGAAGCTCAACAGGAGCAAATCCACCACATAAAATCTAAGCTAGAAAAATCAGCGACAAAAGTAAAGATGTTAAGGAAAAGGGTCAGACGGTAATTGGAAAATGGTACACCGAAGAGTGCTTACCAAAGTTTTAAAAAAAGTTTTTGAAAACAGGAAGATGGAGAATTTGCGGCGCTGCTTTTTACATCATGACAACGCGCCATTAAACACTGCTGAAATTTAATCGCGATCTTTGAGATCGGAGAAATACTTCCAGCAAGGAAGAGAAAGATCTTTAATAGCAACGAGAAGATAATTAATGCGGTTAATGTTGAGCTTGCTAAGCTTAAAAAGCAATACTTTGAAGATTGTTTTCAGAAGTGCATCTAAAAGCTTAAGAAATGCATTGAAATCAATGGCGATTAGGTAGGGAAGATAAAAAAGAGCAAAGATTATGAATGAATACAAAAATATATGTTTTTTCTTTTTTCTGGTCAACTTGCGGAACCTTTGTTAATCCCCTTGTAT